GCAGCTTCCCCCAGCCTCAGCCTTACCCAACAGCTCTGTGGTGCCGTTAAAGTTCAAAGGCAAAGGCTCAGCCCTTGACCAGACCATTTCCGCTGTATTTAGGTCAAATAAATTTAAAAAAAAAAAAAAAAAAAGGAAAAACCAAGCAAACAAAACAGTAAGAAGGTAAAAGGCAGCTTCCAGTCATATTCTCGTTTATTAAGGTCTATGCCAGCCTCAGGAGACAGCTCTTCCTGTAAGTAAACAGAGCAGGCGGCCACATCTATAATGAATAAATTTATTGTCTTACAAAAATCATTGTCTAGAAATATGGGTATACAAGAAAACAAGATATTTGCAGTCAGATGCCTGGTGGTCAACAGCCAGTTTGATTAAAAATATCCAAACACACACAACAAAACCTTTGCGACAGATGTTAAAGCTTTTAACCAAAAAAGGATATCCATGGTTTTTGAGCAGAGGAAGTTTCCTAGTTAACACTGGTTCATTGTCACTAATATCAATAATACCACTTGGACTAGAGAGAGGTACGTGATATGAAGCACAGTCAAAATTAATACATTAAATCATTGTTATATAGGCAAATTATATATGTAACATTGTCTTAGTACTGTAGTGTCTAAGGCACTTTCTGTAATGTCAGTTTTTCAGCTATTTAAACAAAAAGAACGCTAACTACTCGCTGTAATACTGTTCAAATTAAAAAACAAAAAACCAACAACAACAACGACGAGAAGGATTCACATCCACTGGCATGTCAACTCATGGCAGGCAACCCCCATGGGGGAGCCCCTGTCCCCACGGGCTCCCCGCGCCGCACAGCACCCGGCTGCCAGTGCCCGGCTCCCCCAGTGACACCAGGCCGGCTGCTAAGGTCTCGCGTGAGCCTCGCCTCACAGTGCAGCTGCTCGGCTCCGTGGCCTGGAGACCAACTAACTCAGCCATAAATTAATAAATTAATTTTGCCTGTGTTGCATGTTTATTTTCCACTGGTGTTCACATTATACGAGCCTTAATATATACACAGATCTGTCAGGCACGGTGACAGCGGGTCTCTACAAACGCACACGTACCGTACAGACGGGGAACGGCGATGCTATTCCAGTTTGCCTGTACTGCAGGAACACTAACTGATGAAGCAGGTGCTGAGAACACTTCAAAATGATATTGCGGGTTAAAAATGGATGCTACTCATTCATCCCTACATTTCCCTCTAACACTTCCCAAGGCCTTTTCACAGTTCACTCGCTGAGTGTGTGTGCTGATCACAACAATTAGGAGAAAAGAAAGATACAGGTGCGGTTTGGTCTTCAATGATCCAACAGACTCAGCACAGCCAAGGGCCATCTGAGCACAGAAGAAACGGAAGGATGTTGTCTGTACAACAAAGCATGCATAGTCATGACCATGGGTCTGTCCCCACCACCTACCCTCTGGGAATGAAGTTTCTGTATTGATAAAAAAAGAAAAGTTTCATCCTTCACATGATGCTTTATAAAATGGCTTTACAATGAGTATCTGGAAAATAGATGCACTGAACAGAGACGATCCCATTTTGTTTACTATATATAAAAAAGCAGTTGTACCTATATCTGAAGCAGGGTACAGTATGGTGAGGCCGGAGAGCCTTAAGACGTAGTTGACCTATGATAAGTAACCTTGTAGCATCATGCCGACGGTTCGTAAGGCAGAGTTAGGGCCACAAGGCAGTTCGGTGGTCGGGAAAGTCCTCCTCCTCCTGCCGACTGGTGTGTCAAAGGTCTCTGCATGCAAATGGTGCGGCGGGGCTCTACTCGGCAGGGGCTGGCTGCGCTTCGTTCACATCGCTGCCTTTGCTCTCCGCGTCGTCGTCCGAGAGCTCCAGAGAGGCCCCTTCGATGTGCAGCTGGCGCCTCCCGGATCGACTCGAGGAGAAGGTGATGGGGCCCCCCCTCCTGCGAACAAGCAGCAGACGGTGATTGGGGACAGGTCACTCACAGCCCCTCCGGTGCTGGTGGCTGCCCCGTCCCTGGTGAGCCGCAGGGGGAGGCAGCGGCTCAGCTCTGGGCCACCCACGGGACAAATTTCACTCCCTCTCTGACCAAGGTGTCACCACGCTACATGCAAACACGCCTTGGTACTCTGGTATTCCTGCTTCATTTGCAACCATCGCCTGAATTTGGCAAGTTCCAAGTAACTTAAAATATTGTCTCTGTAGGATCACCAAGCCCAGACCAAGTACTAAACAGCAGGTTCTCTAAAAAATATATCAGCTGCTCGTTTTGGAAGTGCTGCGCTGCGCCCCTCCTGCCATTGCCATAGACCAGCCAGCTCAGCTGCTCTGCACCTCTTGAGGGGGTTTCTGTGCTGTGGCAGCTCCACCTTTGGTGACTCTCATCTGCACTTGGTAGAGACCTTGATCTCAGAGACCTGCTCTCTCTTCCCACCGCAGCGGGGCAGGAAAAAACAGATCAGTACCAGCCCCTGGAAAGGCATCACTGAGCTGTCTGTCACGTTTACCTCTGGCTGGATTGACCTGGGACCCCCAGGGGACTTGCCAGCATAAATGTCAAAGAGCTGAGGCTCAGGACTTGTCAGGAATAATCCCTGTGGTCAGGCAGCTTCGGGTTATCACCATCAGGCCCAGTCAGCAGCTCCCAGCAGGCTCCAGCTTGCCCCATCCCCTAACATCAGCAGCTCTGCTCTGCAGTGCCCCAGCTGGATGCTACCCACAGATGTATATTGGAGATGGTTTGCGGGCACACAAGGGCTCTGATAAGCCCCTACCTGCTGCTAATGGCACCACTTACCTTAGCCTGTTTTTCAGGGTGCTGACCTCCCGGCTCAGGCCCTCGTTGGCCTCCGTGGCATCATCCAGCTCACGCTGCAGTTTACGTCGGGAAGCGTTTGCACGTGTGGCTTCCTCTTCAGCCTCCTCCAGCTGGCGTTTGAGCTGCTTCATTCTGGCATTTGCCTTTTCCATCTAAAAGACAGAACAGGTTGTCAGGATCAAACTCAGCAGCTGCAACCCCACGATTTGGGAGGTCAGAGGTCAGCTAACGCCCTGTCCTCCCTGACCAACCCAGCTGGAGATGAACCATCAGCCTCACTGCAGACTCCAGCGTCTGGAGTCCCGTCTGGAAACACTGCAGAGCTCCTGGGATGTCAGAGTAAATGATGGACCATCACACCAGCGCTCAGACAAGGAGGCTCTGACTGCTGCGAGTGACTCTAGTGGTTTAGTGAGCAAGATGGGGGTTCCCTCAAATTTCATTAAAATGCTTCGTAACCAGCCCTTTCTACTCCAAGAATGGTTTTATTTGGCTTCTCTAAGAAACAGGTCTCAAAAACTAAGCCCCTCCACCTACCTGCTCCTTGTACTGGTCTGCGTGTCGACGCTCATCCTCCACCTGCATGAAGACTTCTTTCAATTTCTTCTCTGTACGGCGCACCAATTTGTTTTCCCTAGAATAACCAAAAGCCGTAATTCATCCCAGTACACGAAGGCCAGGAACACAAGGTCTGTCCTTTCCAAAAGGCTCTCGCTTCACTGTGTGACTGATACTTGAGTCCTCTTAACAGGCCTGCCACCACCAACAGAACCAATGTTGGTCTCAGAGTGCTGGTGGTTGGCTGGGATGCAGCTTTGAAAGTGGAAAGTCTCAGCACTGTAGCACTAGAGTATGGTATGGAGGTTAAAAAGCAGGATAAGAAAGTGTTGCTTCACAATGAGATTGAACAGAGCAGCTTTAAAGTTATTGCTAGTAACAAAGTCCTCCCGCAGAGCCAAAAGCGCCAAGAAAAAAAAAAGGAGATGGCGATAAGACAGCCCACCTTTGGATTCAGGGAGGAACTGGCCAAAAAGAAATGAAAGAGTGGAAAACTGAGACAGAAAGGACAGGCAGGAAGAACTCCCTGCAGGAAGACTCTGCAGAGCACAGGATTCATGTCAACTAACTTAAGCTGTCACACCTAAGCTGCTCAACTTGCTTCCTCTAACCAAAGAGACCAGGTGTCTCAAGGGGAGGTTTTATCTTGTCTCAAGATACTTCTGCAGCACCTCAAACATCCTGGGACTACCAGTCAAGATACTCAGCTGGGTGACTTCAAGAGTTAACTCAGCAGTTTCAGTCATGGAGCAAATAGATTCTGAAAGTTTCAATCCCAGTTACTTCACAGCTCTTGTTAGAGTGTGTCCCCTGAACAGTAGATTTCTTGATAATAAAACCCAATTCCTGTGCTGTAATCTCACCTCTAAACTCTACATAGACTTAAGGCATGGAGGTCTCAGACATTCAACCAACAGAGCAAACACAGGCAAACAGATTCTTTCCTTACTTGGCTTCCTGCTCAAGCTGTTCTTCTAGCTGCACAATCTTGGCTTCTAGAGTAGAAATTGTTGCCTTGAACTTAGACTTCACAGATCCCTCCAGTTCCTGCAGCTTGGCTTTCAGCTCTTTGTTCTGCCTTTCCAGCTGCTGCCGTGCATTTTCACTCTTCTGGGCAGCACTCCTCTCCCCAGCTAGCTCCGAATTAAGCGTGTCAACCTTTCAGAGGAGAAGAATAGATCATTTGGCGCTATTCAGAGCCTCCACTTAACTGCACACCGAAAGACAAACTGCCCCGGCAGCATTGCCAACAGCAGATTCACCTGCAGCGTGGTCTTTCGGAACCGCTCATTGAGAAGCTCCATGTTGCTCTGCTCCTCCTCGAGCTCTTCCTCCAACTGTGCAATACGAGCTTCCAGCCGGCGCTTCTCGTCCAGCAGCGCTGACCTAGAAAGGAAGTATTTGGGTCAAGACATGTTCAGATCTGATAGAAAGCAACCGACTAGTTTGCTTCTTACATTTTAGGCATTGCAAATTGTCATGAGAAGCTCCCGCGCAAGCAATTCTCCTCATAACAACAAGGGATTTTTAATAAGGCAGGCAGGTCAACACATAATTTGCAAGCAGACTGCTGAGAACTACAGCTGCTGGTGCCCGGAGTTCTTCAGATGCACAATTAATACATTTGATGACTCACTTTCCTGAAGCGCTGTTTGCAATCTCATCAGCCAACTCATCCCTTTCCTGCTCAGCGTGACGTCGGGCTCTTTCAGACGCAGCAAATTCCTGCAAAGGTTTAGGAAAAGATGCATTACAGCATTGGGAATCTCAAAACTTCTGCAAACAATTTAGCCTTCTAATAACTTCTGGGAGAACACCGTGAAGTGCAATACCCCTGAGGTCCCTTAATGAAGAAATAAGCAGAAGGAAGAGCCATGGAAGCTAGCAAGAGGCATCATCTTGATACTTCCCCCCTTAGCTGCCACATGACTGCGATGGATTTACTTCTCCCCGTCCCTGAAGTGTTCCTTGCACAAAGTTAACAGAAAAAAAAAATCTGTGAAGTTCAGTAATAGTCAAGCCCTAAACAGCAGGAGAAAAATGATACCATCACGTGCTCTAATAAACACGTTCAGTGTCAAGTGGGCACTAAGTTACACAAATTTTTTAGGTCCATTTAGAGTACATGAATGCAAGCAAAGCATAGAAAATAAAATCTTTAGCACAATAGTGTAAACAGCACTGAATCTCATATATAAAACTGTATTAAGTGGTAGAAACACCCAGGCATTTGCTAAGGACTGACAAGTGCACGACTGACAAGTTTGAAGCCTGCAAAGGGATGACACGGAGCAGATTTAGGAGTCGTAGGTCATCTGTAAAGGCTTAGTGGATTGCTTTTTACTTTTTTAATTCTCCGATCTTTGCCTTACTTTAGCAAGAAAAAAACAAACTCTATGGATTTCAATCTCACCTCTTGGAGCTGGAGTATTTCTGCTTCAAGACCTTTGAGCTTCTTTTCACTCTCCTTGGACTGCGCGAAGATCTCATCTCTGGATGCACGGGCTTCTTCCAGCTCCCGCTGGTAGTCCTTCATCTGAGCCTGCAGTTGGAAAGCAGGGGAAAGAGAAGGCCATGCTGCATTAGGACAATCACAAGATTTGTTAGTAGCTTTGAAGCATTTTGGCCCTTAAGAGGTAAGACCTTCCTCCCAAAGAGGCTTCATTCCACTTAATGCATTTTCAGGTCTTATTTTCACAGTAAAACTTCATTTTCTCATCTTTCCATCTCTCTAATTCCTTGTCAGAAATATCACATTGTAAGACTCCACCTTATTTACATGGTATATTTCTTGTAGGAAAAGAGCTGCTCAATTATGTGTGTCATGAAACCTGTCAGGGAGAGGTAAAGCGACTGAAATGATTTGTAAAACATTTCAGTAAATTGACTAAAACCCACAAAACTTACTGCAAGTGTGGAAGGTAGTTCTCAGTGCAGAAGTGACACAACGCACCATTCTGCACACCTCGAAGCACACGCTAACACTTCCTTCAGAAACGCTGCTACCACAGACTGAGATCCTCACCTGCACCAGTTTGACTTCAACTTTCTTACTCTCCTAGCGTCTGGAGAAACCGCATTTCAGCTGTACCTGCATCTTTAGTACATCCCCAGTCCTGAGACCGCTTATTTTGGGTGCTTGTGTGGAAGTGTGCAGAGATCACGTGTGAGCTCTCTGGCTGTCCTGTTCCCTTGCACTTGAGGAGCAGGGCATTGCCAGGCACCAGCGTTTCTTGCATTAACCTGCGCTCCCTCTGCAGCCAGGGCTCAGATCCAGAACCGCCCTCGTTCAGCTGAAGTAGGATGAGAAGTCGGATTGCCAAGGAACAAAGCGGACAAGGCAGAAAGGCAATTTAATTTGGCACAGTCCTGCCATGGTCTTGTACTCCTGCAGCTTTGGGCCATGACACTGAAAATTTTTGGCAAAATTGAACTGTACCAAACGCTGAATATTTTTCTGGGAATAAGAAATAAATCCTTGACACAAGGACTATTTTTTTCTTGCCAAACTAAAAAGAGTGAGCATCTTGGAGCTTTTCAAAAGCAACTAGAATTTAGTCTTCCTTTTTCTCTGGAGTGTTTTTGGCTGAAAACACCTTAAAAAGTCCAACAAACTGAGGAAGCAGCAGTCAGCAAGAGCTGAGCTCAAATCAGTAAATTCAAAGATACAAACAAATTAAAAAAATGCAGCCTAGAAATCAATGCTCATTAAAACTTTATGCAAAGTGTTGAAATAAGTAAAACAGTAACTACCAAACAGAAGTACGCAGGGGACAATTTTAACTCCTTACCCACAAATGGATGAGAGGAGTTTTGAGCAGGTGATAAGTTCAGGCCAGACGCTCTGACACACATCAGCACAATCCAGTCTGATACTCCTTCTGCCTTCAAGCTACAAATGTATTTCATGAAAAGTGACACCCCCGGCAGCCTGCCACCAGGAGGGAAAGTGGCTCGGTTGATGTAGCTGGGCCTACCTGGAGCTTACGTAGCTGTTTGATCGCTTCATCCCGAGCCTTGTTTGCAGCTTCTATCTGACCTTCCAGGTCTTTCAGGTCCATCTCCAATTTTTTCTTGGCTGCCACAGCAAGAGCCCTCTGTTTGCGCTCATCTTCCAGCTCTGCCTCCAGCTCTCGCACCTGTGGAATCAAGGCGTTTTACACGTTCAGCTCCAGGAACAGAGCAAACACGAAATCCTAACGAAGTGCTCGGTGACTACGAAAGGCCTTTGCAGAGCAGAACTAACATTTCTCGACTGGAAGAGACTACAGAATGCAGGCTCCAGGGAAGACGCTGCAGATGGCAAAAGCAAAACCACAAATTGGAAGCAGAGATGTCCAAACTGACAAAAATGAAAGCAAAGCCAGTAACCCATTGTTTGAAGCATTTCCATTTCATCTGTTCAGCTTCTTGCCCAGCACATCTATCCACATTTAGGTATCACTCCGGAGCAGATGTCACTAATTCTGATTGAACCACTAAGAGGGAAATAATTAGAATCACCTCATTTTCTCAAGAAAAAAGGAAGCAATTCTCTTTGAAACAGCTTTACTACTAGCATTTATACACCAACAAATGCTTTTCAAAACAATACAGAAAAGTATCTTAGCATCAAGCCAAGATGAAGCCAAACTGAGCCAGAAATGCCACATGTTACCAACATCAAAGAACAGGTTTTGCTTTGAAGCAAGCCTCCCTCCTCGTTCCAGGTCAAGAACTCTTGACCAGTGCAAGATAATAGCAATTTTAACTGCAGTGAACTTCGAAGGGCCTCCAGGCCATGTTTATTTCTAAGAGGTCTCTATACTGGTGATTCCAAGTAATTGTACATTTTTATTTTCTTAGGATTAATCTTGAAATATTGGCTGCTTTTTCCTCAAAGCTTAGTTTTAATTTAGAACCATCTTCTCTTATAAGCATGAACTTTTAAAGGCATTTCTCGAGTAGTTTCTGATCTGCTTTGTGTTACTAGACTTCTCAAGTCTGGCAAATCAGGAATCTTAGTCACAATTTTAATTTAGGAAACTGTTCACTTAATTACAGTCTTTCAGTCTATCTCACCATCCATGAGCTTATTCCTGCATATCAAATATGATGGGCTTAAAAGTCCAAATAACATACCCCTGTCCTTAAAATACACCCAGTCAATAGCCAACCTCTGCTTGCACACCAGGTATCTTTGGAGGACCATCAGGAGCAGACTTACAGCTGACAGTGGCCAGTCCTCAGCAAGACCTGTTCTGTTGTTTGTCAAGATCAGTGCTTGGGATTGCTATAGGATGGGATCTTTAAGCAAAGAGGTGTGTTTTTCTGGCAGCAAGTTATCGCCAAAGCCACAGAGCTTTGGCAAAAGACCCTCACACCCCTCCCACTACAAAGTACAGTAAAACAGACATACCTGTTTAACCAGCATCCTCTTTTTCTCTTCATTCTGTTCATCTCTGGCTTGCAGATCTCTCTCAAACTGGGCTTTCATAGCTTGCATGTTCACCTCCAAACGAAGCTTAGCATCTTCTGTGGCCTGCAGTTCATCTTCCAGTTCCTCAAGCTGAGTCCTCATCTCTTCAACCTGTTGCTCTAAAGTTCTCTTTGACTTCTCCAGTTCATGGACCTAAGCCACAAACATTAATCAGGCCCTCTCCTTCAGACATCTCAACATCAGCAACATTAACAGCAAATTAAGACATTACATGAGCTCAGTACACTCCATTTTGTGATGCTCTGAATTGGACAGAACAGGCAGAGCAGCACGCTGTATTAGAGAGCCCAACAAACTCCATGCAGGTCACTGGAAAGGTGCGTTGTGCAATGCCAGGGAAAAGCAGCAGAGAGACAAGCTCTTAGACCCAGCACAGGAGCCGTTAGTCCATTGGCCAGCAACTTCTGCTCTCCACACCTTTACATTTTTGAAGGGGCTTCATGTTAATGAAGACCACCCCCTTATTCTCACCATTAATTCCTCCAGAATTCTAGGTCATAAATCAACTTCAAAAAGTTATACTTTTGTGTCAAATATACTTCTCCAGCCAGGGAGTTTTCCCACGTTATTCCCTATGCAGCATAAAACAAAACAGGGTGTGGAAACATACTTACATTTTTGCCCACATCATCTTTAGAGCTCATTAAGTCTTCCATATCTGCACGCAACTGCTTGTTCTGTCTTTCAAATTCTTCCTTAGCTTCCAGGGCTTCTTCCAAAGCCCGAGCCAGAGACAGTGCTTTGGTTTCCTTCTCCCTTGCTTCTGCCTCAGCACGATCTCTTTCCTCTGCATATCTGGCAGAAATGTTCTTTTCTTCTGCCAGCATCTGAACATAAGAAAAAATTGATTCATCTCATAAGTTCTATAATCAGGTCCTTCCATCCTCAGGTGTTTTAGTCAATGAAGTGGTTACAGACTAGGCCTTCAGAAGCTACCTAGTCTCTCCAGCTTGATTAAAGTGCTAGTAAGAAAACAGCTACAGCTACTCTGGGATGAGATGAAGAAAGCAAGCTACTAACCAAGATTAAGTAAATTTTGCATTATTTTCATCTTGCAGTCTTCGCATCCTTTCTTAGTCTATCTTGAGGGATTCAATAATACTATTAGGTTTTTGTTCCAGTATAATTTCCTTTTCATATATAAAGAGCTTATTACTTGATCTAACAAGACTCAAAGCTGGCATCTAGCTCACTGAAATTTTAAGTGACAAGTTACTTAACAAAGGCCAAGCTGCCCACAAAGGAAATATCAATAACCACAGCACTCTAGTCAGAATCTTCTTTATACAAAGTTCATTTATGCAGTTACAATATAAACAAGATGTCATTTAAAAATCATAGAAAGCAGCAAGATGACAGGAAACTAGACTACCTGATCAAACTTCTTCTGCTTTTTCTCCAAGTTAGAAACAATCTGGCGCTGATGATCTAGATCTACCATCAAGTCATCCAGCTCTTGCTGCAGGCGATTCTTTGTCTTTTCCAGCTTGTCATAAGCTATTGCCTTCTCCTCTAGGCGCTGGCTTAAGGACTCCATGTCCTTCAATAATTTCTTCTTATTTTCCTCCAAGCCTTCAATGGTTCCCAAGTCATCATCTACCTTTTTCTTAGCATCAGCCAACTGAAATTTAATAGAAGACAATAATGTTCCTTAGTGCATCACGAGACAGAGAGAAAGGCATCAGAGGTAAAATACAACACCAGAAATAGATGTAACTGCTAGCTGCAGTAACACAAAAATTGTGAGCTAGCAGGATACTACGCTGGGGAAAGTACTGCCCATCGCAGTTAGCCATACCAGTCATTGCTGCGATGGAGAAAGACCACAGGGAATTCTATTCTAAAATCTGGAATAGCATATGTCCAAGTTACATGACATTTTCCTGAGAGGTTTGGGACACGAATTCATGTCACCTGAAATGCGTAGGCCTTACAGAAGCCCTGCCGTTTACAGCAGCCTACCTGTGACTGCAAGGCGAGCATCTGCTTCTCCAAGTTCTTTCTGGCCTCTTCTTCCTCTTCCTGCTGCTCTTGTAGGTTGTTCTTCTCCTCTTCCAGCTGCCTAATCCTACTGCTCAGATTGAGTTTCTGGCGGGTTTCTTCCTGAAGCAGCTCCTGTTACACAAGCACAACACCCAAAGTTCAGTTTGGTTCATGGTGCGTTAACCATGGCCTTCGGCTACCACCCTCCATCACTCTATATGGAGTTTCAGTTTGATTATTTTTCTCACAGCGTTTTTGTACAAGGACATACGTATGAAGACATTTGTGATACAGCTTTTCAAAAAGGCACTGTTCATTCATTTTGGGCACACTTACAGCTTTATAAAGCATATTTCTGACCAGGGAATCCAGGCCACTGTCTGTTCTAGAAGTTACTGGATGATACTTTCCCATCTTTAAAGGGATGAGCACAGAAGTCGCCTTCAAAATTTATTTTTCTTCTTTCAGACAAACATACAGAGTCTCTGTTTTAAACCACCTGGGAAGAATATATAGCTACAAATCCTGCTTCCAAATTTTGCTGCATTGCTTAAATACAAAGGTCACTTTAAAGACAGCTGTAATTTGGCAGTGGAAATGTCTGTCATAACAGAAGCTAATGAAAGATGTAAGTATCCCCGCCTCCTCCCATCATCCTGTTCCTCACAGACCTCTCCAATCATGATTAACATTGTTGAAGTGGTCACCATTAGCATTTTTATTACCGGGGGCGGGAGGGTGGGTGGTGGGAAGAGGAAGAGTGTATTTAAATGATAAATATATGCACAAAGCAAAAACAAACGCTGGCAGTTTTAAGAACTGAAGCTGTCAGTAAAAGACAGGGTATTGTCCCTCATGCCTTTCATATGCCCCAAGGATCTTACATTAACATTCTACTTGGAAAGGTTTTTTTTGACTTAATACTTATTTCCCACAGAGACTAAGAAATAAGAGAAACTGAAAGGCTACAGTCTATCAAGTAGTGAATCTCAGATAACGACAAATCTGCTCCACATGTAGCTGAGCAGTCATTAACATCGCATGTCATGAGACTTCAATGGGAAATGGTGCTTCTACCTGAGGGACTTTCCAAACCATGAATTAAAATATATTTTCTGTTATGCAGTCAGAATTTCAATGAAGAGCAAAGCTTCAGTGCAAAGTTCAAGCTTCGCTGCACACACACCTGTGTATCCTGAAGCTGAGATTCCAAACTAGCCGCATCCTTGGCAAACTTAATGCCTTTCTTCTCTGCTTCCTCCAGGAGACTCGAGACATTATCCAACTCATTCTGCAAAGCAAGCAGTCTAAAGGTAACAGCGTGCAGATGGCTCAGGGCAAAGCCTACATCCCACTGGGAGCTGGAACTGCAGAACAAAAACCTCAGATTCTAGGTATGACAAGGCAACAATAGATCCCAGTAGAGATACAACCAGCTAAAAACACTGAATTTCTGTTAGAAACTTGAAGTTGGATGTCAATCTTGAACATAAAAGTATAACCTAACAAGAGTTAGACATGCTGTTTGGCAGAGCATGTTATTCCAATTTCTGCATTCATACTTAAATGCTATTTTTAATTACAGGACGGTTAATTCAGGGATCATCAGGGTGGCAGCTGAGTTTCAAGCATCACTGCAAGAGAAAAGGTTACTGTCAGGTGCCAATTCTTGCTATTTTAGGCTATGCTACTTGTACATACAGTGAGAGCCTGCCTAGCAGCTTCCCCTGAAAAGAACTGGGCCATTCCCTTTTTGAAGCACTTTAGCTTGATTTACCTGAAGTACTCATTGCTGTGGTTTAAAAGTCAGCCCTGTATTTTGTCCATTTTCTCCATTTCCCAGAAGAACAGGCCTTTACTTGCAATTCCTGTCAATTTCTGTCAAGCTCACAGCTTTGAAGCACAAGAAGAAACCTGTGGCCATTAATCAGTACATTTTTCCTCACACCTATAAATGACCTCAGCCCAATCTACTCAATTCCATATCCAAGCCAAAAATCTGCAGGCCAGTGTCAGCAGAGCCTCCAGGACGGGAAGCCATGTACTTCGAAGCCACTATAATTCTCACATAGCCCAAAAAGTTCAGGATTAATGTCATCGCTGCCCAGCTTTCTCCACCTGAGGCACGTCACAACTTTAAGGCCCCTTTAAGTAAAGGGGTGCATGACTGATCACCTCCCACATAACTACAGAGCCAGATCCTAGCTGCACCTTTCAAAGTAATTTTTCCCAGCCCTTTCTGCATCTGGTTAAGGCTTTTACTTCCTTGCATTATTTTTCAGCAGTTTAGGACTTCCTGCACACAGCCTTACCTGCAGCTTGTTAGCTTTCTCCGCCAGTTCCACCCTCAGTCTCTCTCCTTCTGTGACCTTAGCAGTCAGCTCTTGTACCTGAGCATCAAGCTTCTTCCTCTTATGTTCAGACTCTGCCTTGACCTGCTGCAGCACCTTCACTTCACAGGCCAACTCCTTGTTGTCAGACTCTAGACCTTGCTTGTTTTTTTCAAGATTTGCTTTGAACTAGGAAAAACAAAAGGAAAGAAAATCAACATTTTGTTACATAACAAAGTTTTCTACTAAAAATATTCAGTCCAGCAAATCAGGTTTACAAGTTCAAAGACAAAACAAATGCTCAGCAAGTTGTAAGTACAGTTTAAAATACTGCCATGTAACATTCTGTGCATATTAGCCAAAGTTAATGCAAGTTATTCCACTCTCTGATGTCGCAGGTAACAGTGAGGACCAAGATACTTCTATGAATTCAACAAGATCTGGGATGTCAGTGCCCTAAAATGAGTGTTTGAGTAGCACTGTAACTAGGAAGGAATGTGCCCATTAACAGATCAGCATGGCTCATCTCACAGAAATAAAAGGAAATATATCAACTAAAGCTGCCCTGATTTTAGTAGGTGTAGCAGCCTGGAAGTGCATAACAAAGCACTTTTGTCAAAAATCATTTTAAAAAAGTAATCATTGGCATAAGGAATGTTTAAGTGCCATTCTTACTATATCATCGCAACTGTCATCATCTTATCACAGGACCTTTGTTAAAGATTGCAGGGTATTTTTCCATCTTTTCATGCTCTTAGTGAGAATATTTAATGAATAAGGAGCAGAAGACATGTGTAAGATCATCAGGTGAATAAACTATAATTTCCACTAGCTTTAACTACTATTTCTCACTTAGTATTTTTAGCTAAGGAAGCTTATGAGTTGTTCCTTACATAAAAGTATTGCTACAGTATATGAACTGTCCACACATACATTTCTGAGCTATCATTTTACAGACTAAAGATAGTTATCTGGGGTTTTTTTGGAAGTGTTGGAATAATTCTACTTTGGAACAAGACACTCAAGCTACACTAGCAGGGTCCATGCTATGTAAGTGCCTCCTCCTGCCTGCTCTGAGGGTGCACAACACAGCTGCGGGCAGAATACTCCACAGAATCCAGCACCAGAGGTCACAGTTAAGCACGAGGTTAGGAGTGGCTGGAAGAACTTCTACACTACCATACTCACAGGTGATTATCTGTGAGTGCCGACATTACAATTACCTTGTTTGGAAGCATTCTGCAGTTCGTTCATGCAGAGAGCTGCTTTTCACCAAGTAAGAGTGCAGGCTGCTGGAGAATTCCCACAGCAGTACCACATGAATTTATCTCCAGGTACACCATTTCCAAGTCTACTGAACACTTTTCAGACAGATGTCAAGATTCTCTCATAGTTGCAATATATCCAAACCAGCAGGATATATTTGATTCAATTGCAATCGTAATACAGGTATAGAGGACAACTAAGATATGAGGATATCAGTGGAAGGGACCACTACAGTTATGTCACTTATAAAAAGCCCTGAAGGAGAAAAATTATTTTCTTCTCACCCGTTTGGCCTGTTCAAGTTGTTCAGAGAGCTCTTCCAGGGCAGTTGCATGCCTCTGCCTGATTTCCTGGATCTGTGCTTCATGGTTTTTGGTTTCCTCTTCAATTGCTTTCTTCAATTCAGCCACCTCCTGCTCTCTCTTTGTCCTAGAGGAAGCATTAGCGGTTATCAAAATCAACATTTTAGTCTTTTGTGAATTAAAGACAAATTTTAATGGTGCCTGCCTACACAAGACATATGATCCTACCTCAGCTCTTGCTGTGCTGCAGTGGTATCCAAGGTATCTTCCAGTTCAGTTTTTAAAGCCTCCAACTCTTCACTTAAATCTCTTTTCTGCTTTTCCGCCTTGTTGCGTGATGCCTTCTCAGATTCCAAATCCTCCTGGAGTTCTGCAATTTGAGCCTGCAACTCTCTTATCACTTTCAGTGCATTGTTTTTCTGAACTGCTTCTTCATCACCTCTGTTAAACAGAGGCACAACAGTTAATGATATTTTGTAGCTTCAGATCTATTCTCCTAACAGTGTAGCATTATTTAAATTATATACTTAAATGATAACTCAGCTTTCCCACGAGAATAAAATAGTCCCTCTAAAACCTCATAGCTAGAAAGCCATTATACTGCACAGTTATTCTCAAGATCCTAACATGTGCAGTGCCCCAGGTACTACAGAAGCACTACCAGAATGATCAAGCTTTCAAGTTTACATTCAAGTATTCCAGTTTTGCACATCTCAACATCGTCCCAAAAATGCACCCTGTCTGTAGAATTTTCTGCTCTCACAAAATTATGGATCATTACTCAAAAAACCACAAAAGGTGTTTAGTTTATAAGACTGTTGCAAGATTACCATCCAAATCTTTCAGTGACTAAGTCACACATTATCAAGCACTTTGACCAGTAGGAATGCTCTCTGAATTACATGTTTTTTCCTTTCTCTTTCTGAACTAATAATACTTATATAATAACTTATACTCTGGTTAAACATTAGTTTTGGAGCTTTGTAGAGCAAGGATGCTGATAAAGCACTGCATCCCTTTTTTGCCATGTCTATGCACAGTACACAGGTGTCTACAGAGATGCTCTGGTGCAAGTGTGAACTGGCTTCTGTTTTAACATTCCCAGCTGTAAATGGTAAGTTTGCAGTCAGCTGAAATTCTGGCTGGGAAAGCAGGTTTTTATCACTGTTCTGTAGTCATAAACCTCCTCTTGCTCTGACCTAGCAAGAGCAGCCTGCAGTTCTTCCTCTTTCTTGGCCAGCTGGATCTTCAGTTCTTCAATCTGGGCTTGCAGCTCAGCTATTTGGTCCTGTAGGTCTGTTGTTTCACCATCAAGTTTTCTTTTAGCTTTTTCTAATTCTTGACGGGTCTTCTCCTCCTTTTTTAAGCGCTCTAAGGAAGCAAAGAATTACATTTATAAGCATTTTCTTCTCTTGGCATATTCAGAAGGTTCAGAGGCAGGACAATATGGTGGCAAGAAGGGTGGGCAGTTTTATATGTGCTGCGTCAATTCCTTCTCTGGTCTGCAGCTGGAAGCATGACCAGAAGAGATGAAATAGCAAAGCAGAACTGTATGATTTAGACAGAAAGTCAAGAAAAAGTCCATGACTCGAGAAAAAAGTTTGAAGTAAGGGAACAGAAACATAACCTCATCTTGACAGAAAATAAGGAATGGGATCTAACACAGAAGAGCAGTTTGAGCTGCTAGGCCAGGAGATCACAGACATGAGGACTGAAAAATAAAAACAACTACGGACTGAAAGAAATGATGGCTTGCATAGTTTAGGAAGGGCTAGGCTAGCCTCCAAAAGGTCTACTAGAAAATAGTATGACTTAAAACTTGGGTAAATCATTTTTGCAAGTATCTGTGCCATTAACTCCCATTCCATTGATATTTAGCAAGACTTTGCAACCCTGACAGCTTCCAGTAATTTATTTGTGTAGCCAAGATACTCCTGCCCTAAGGTATCTCTGTGAAAACCATTCAGTTATCAGTGCCACAGCAACAAAATACATTTAGGTGATCTGCCTGCTGTCTGATTAGGATAGCTACTGGCTGCACTGTTTACAGTTAGCTAATGTTAGGCATGTAATACATTTACAAGTCAGGAGGAAGGAGCCAGGCTCTTCTCAGTGACAGCCAATGACAGGACAAGGGGCAATGGGAGCAAACTGGAACATAGGAGGTTCAATCTGCATCATATGAGGAAAAACTTTTTCACTGTAAGGGTGACAGAGCCCTGGCCCAGGCTGCCCAGAGAGGTTGCGGAGTCTCCTTCTCTGCAGACATTCAAAACCCACCTGGACGTGTTCCTGTGTGACCTGGTCTGGGTGATCCTGCTCCGGCAGGGGGGTTGGACTGGATGAGCTTTTGAGGTCCCTTCCAACCCCTAATATTCTGTGATTCTGTGAAAGTTTTGCTTAGCATACCACTAGCATAATACTACAGGCTTCAGCATAAGTATAAATTAGTAGACTAGGTCAATACTTTGTGGGTCCTCAGTGCAGAGATTTCTCTCCAACCTTCCCAAGTCTGCTACTAGACCAGGACGTCGTCTTCTACATGGAAAGGGAAATGTGTAAAGATCATCTCTTAGGGCCACCCAGGGCTATTTGAGAATTTCCAGACAATCTAAAGGAACACAATGTCGTAAGATCTAATTTTGTTACTGAGAAAGCTCATAGTAAACTGATTTTTATTTTTTTATTTCAGTGCCTAGCAGTACCAAGAACCTAGCAGAGATCTTAATGGCTTCTTGAATCATCTAAAAAGTAAACATCATTTCACTGTGCTTTACTAGCCAAGAATTTGCATGCTTTATGTTTAAGCTTTAATTTCTATTTCTAAGGTCATCAGTCTTGGAACGGCACCATAATCAAACATCTGTCAAGTATCTCCAGAAACACTAGTCCTGATTTAAGCACACCAACTACTCAAGCGCTATTTTCCAGTGAGTAAATCTTACTTATGCCCATCTTAAGGTCTCTGTTTTAAAGAAAAAGGTACATCAACCACTTACTACTCCTATTAGTTCAATACCTTCCTATATAGATAAGATTAAACTTTGCGATAAGCACATCAGTTTTAAAATACGTAGCACAACAGGCCATAATAAGGTAAGTGAAAAAGTATTTCCGAATTAGGATACAGAGAGCAACTTTGCCTTATAATTTGCAACTTTGACTTGGCAGTTTATCAGTGTTGCACAATAGCTATTTACAGCCATAAGTAACTAAAAGAAAAAAAAAAACCCAACATAAAAATCAAGAAAGGTTACACACTGGGCTAGCTGAGCCTGTGAGAACAGGCAAAACCATCAGAAATAAATGACCAAAGAAATGGAATCATTTTAGATAAACAAAGTGTTAAGCAAAAGAATTCTGATTTGCTTATTCAAAAAATATTAGAAGCCCAATGAAAGCCTACTAAGATTCTTCCAGAAATATGTTGTTTTAATGTGTTATTGTAGAAAAGTGTAGCAACTTCCCAAGAGACAGATGTTTTACCTTGTTACTAAGGGACGCATGCAACAACATGAATTTCTGAGTACATCTATAGATGAAATGGATTCTCAAAAATGAAAAACAAGTTAAACATGAGAAAGACTGAGCAGCCAAATGCAACAAGTCTTGCGAGCAACACACATTTCTTTCAAGATTTAGATAAAAATAACAGCTATTAAGGTATCTACATATAAGGTTACACTTAACAGACTGGACCAGATACCACACACATTGTAATAAGTGATTCATTCCTTTCTAGCATGATGTCCAAGCTGTAAATAGTGAGAACAAACCTTCCAAATCAGTGATCATCATTTCCTGCTTGTTCTTGAGTTTGGCCAAGTTCTTGGCCTTTTCTTCTTCTTCAGCCAGCTGAGAAGTACATTCAGCAATTCGATCCTCCATCAGCTTCTTTTCCTAGTTAGGAGAAAAGGGAGAATAGAGAACTTCTAATATATGATTTGAAGAGTCTCTAAGGAGCACAAATAACTAAATATACAAAATCAATATAGAGGTCTCCTACAGCACATAAACCACAGATTTTATTTCAAGTGACTGACCTGTCAATATTAATGATCAATTGGAATAGTATATGAGCATGAACATTTGATTTCCAAGAAAGTGAGACTTGGAATTTAACACATGAGAGAGGCCTGGTTTTAGGACAGCATTTGCTGTACGCTTTTGGAAATCTGTTTGCAAAGAACAGCATTAGCTATGATAAACACTGTTTCCAGCCCTTAGATTGGGAAGGCTCATGAAACTGGAAAGAATGCATGGCAAATACCTCTCTTTTGAAGGTCAGTTTAAAAGAAGCTTTAAGTGTCTCTGCTTCAATGTGTTCAATCCCCACAAGTCTATAGACAACGTAACTGCAGTCTCAAATGTTTTGAGAGCTATCACTTGGTACTGCTAGTACTTATGTGCAGAACCTCCACCATGAATACTGTTCTCACCTTTAAAAATTTGGAATTTTGGTCCTCCAACAGTAGGATCTCTTCCTCCATCTTCTTGATCTTAGCTTCAGCTGTCACTTTTTCAAGCTGCAACTTCTGTCGAGCTCCCTCCTCCTCATCAAGCTGTTCCTCCAGGTCCTGGGAACAAAGGCAATTGAATCTGTGCATTTTCCAGGTTACCCATGTGTTAATTTTTTTTAAAAACGGGTGAAAGAAATCCATTATTTTGAAAAGCCACCTGCCCAAACTAACACTAAAAATGCATTCAGTTTTTGTTAGACTCATTTATAGCAACGATGTGCAATGACATTAAGGGCCATGTGATACACAGGGAATTTTTTATACTCTATTTCAGCTTTGGTTGAAATATGCGGTCTAGGAAGCATACACACACTTCAGAGTCCTTCATCACCTTAATTCTGAACATAAGTTTATTTTTAAAAAATCAACTTAATGAAAACCAAATCAGATCAGGCTTTATCTCAAATATTTCCCAGCACACTGCATCTGAATAGGGCATCTGGTGTAAAAGTGCACATGTTTGGGAAAAGATGCCACAGGAAACAGATTGCCTGGTTTCAGTATTAATCTAGATCTCGGTATTACAGCTGAAATGGTTCAGATATTGACACAAATAGATACAACTAGAAAATTGATAATGTATTGTGCTTCTATTCATTCATGGTTTTAAATAAGATTCTCAGACACACATTAATGGACACTTATTAAAAGGCATCAAGAGCTCTGAGTTGTGGGGTATATTTCCTCTTCAAGTACATTGAATCTTTTGAAAGACAGATAAGTTCCCAGGTATTCCCTTCTTCAAGGTCTCCGTGTACTCAAAAGGAAGCATCTAAATCATCTGCTTTTCACAAAAATCTCCAAGTAACTTGGAGGAGATGATCCTGTTTTAGTTTTGCAAGAGTCAAAGAAGGAACACTGTTCATGATATTCACTGGATTTCAGTCAAAAAGGAACATTTCTCTCCTAAGTGACATCATCCCACCAGTCTTTGTTTCTATCAGAAGGCAGGTAAGCCCCATGCAGTCGATTCCAGTTCCTCCCTGATCAAAAGTGCTTGCTTCCAGACTCTCTGCATATGCTATAGCTACCAACATGGCATTTTGACTTTTCTTTTTCTTTCCTCACCCTCATATGTCTGGAGACCACAAGCAGCTAAACACACTGAACGAGACGAGAAAAAAAGTCAGATTTATTCTATTCCCCACATGGTGCTAAGGAGCTAAATTCCTCTGTGCCATGGAGATCCTGAGGGAGCTTTCCCATCCTTAACTGCCCTGTTTGCATGCTTTCCATTGCCAGTTGCCAACAGGCATACCTGAATATGGCCCTGCATTTTCTTTTTCTCATTCTGCAATATTTGGTTTCTTTCCTCTTCCTCCTCAACCCGGGACTCCAAGTCATGGAGGATTTCTTCCAACTCTTGTTTTTTGGCAGCCAAGCGCGCCCTCATCTCCTCAGCTTCTGCAAAGAGCTCTGTCTCAGCCTGCAGCTGCTCTGCAAGAATGTTCTTCTCTTCTAGAAGCTGCAAATACACACAAAAGGTAGAAAAGTAGTAAAAAACAGTGTTTCAAAGTCTCTCATGAAAGATTATGTGTGACAACTACTAAGTTACTTAAATGCCAAGTTCTGCTCCAACTCTTGACTTCCTGGTTGATATCCAAAACCAAAGCCCTCTGCTAAAAGTCTTTATCAGCAGTGTAGAAGGCACCAGCTTTTGTAATAGGGCAACAGCAATATTCACTCACTTGTCCCCCAAGTTTAAGGAACAGATCCCACTGTGCCTACCCCACATGCCCTATTCTACCAGCAGCAAGGAGACGAGGGAAGTGGCTGTTTCCTGGACTGTCTCTCGCACTCGTCCCTGCATGGTGGCAGAGCAGTGCCATGGGTAGCTGGGCTGAAGCTGGCACTTGGAGTCAATGCAACACTTTACTTCTTGATGTGTAAGCCTGACAATGGGATAGAATAGACCCAATCTGAAGGAATCTACAAGAATAATCTAGTTCAACTGCCTGACCACTTCAGGGCTGACCAAACGTTAAAGCATATTATTAGAGGCATTGTCCAAACACCTTTTAAACACTGACAAGCACAGGGTATCAAATACCTCTCCAGGAAACCTGTTCCAGTATTTGACCACCCTCTTGGTAAAGAAATGTTTCCTAATATCTAGTCTGAACCTCCCCTGATTAAGCTTTGAAACACTGCCACGTGTCTGGTTACAGGATCCCAGGGATACTGTAGATATCCTTTCCAGTTCTATGATGTCCCAAAATTACCATAGTGATAAAA